GCTTCAGTTGACAGGCTTCAGTTCCTGCACAGAGCAGGCGGTTCAGAGTTTTCTCAGCTCCTGACCGTCGACGTCTCACCGCGCATTCGGCAGGGACGGGTGACTCGAAGATCAAGTGCTTGCTGCTGTTGTTGATCTCGCCGTTGGCGATCCTTAAATATTGCAAACCAATGTCAGCTCTTACTCCTCCTGCTCCTGCTCCTGCTCCTGCTCCTGCTCCTGCTCCTGTTCTTGCTCCTGCTCCTGCTCCTGCTCCTGCTCCTGCTCCTCCTGCTCCACTCTTACCCCTGCTCCTGCTCCTGCTCTTCTTACTCCTGCTCCGGCCCCTGCCCCTTTTCCTTCAAACCCCTCGTTCTGTCTCTATCCTCTCCGATTTTCCTTCCCACGATCACAACCCGCCTCTCTTTCCCTCCTCAAGGCAAGGCACCTGCTCCAAGGAGGCATGTCGACGTAGTGGAGTTGAGTGAGGTAGATAGTACCTTGCCACTTGTAGTCTCCTGCCCGCACATACAGTGTAGGGACGGAGCCTGTATCCCGCTGAATGAACTCTGCTATCCTCACTCCAGCTTGGACCGAGTTGATGGCATCGGGAACGATGATCCTGTCGTCCCCCTCCTCCAGCTTGAACTCGTTCTTCTCCCTGATCCCCATGATGTTCCACCCTGGGTCGTCGTCGTAGTCGACAATCCCCTTCATGTCCGGGTCCACGTCCTCCCCCATCTCAGACGTGAAGCCCATCGGGTTGGGATCCTCCATGAATCTTTCCATCATCGCAACGTCCTCTGGTGAGATGGGTCGATCCTTCTCGCTGGTCTCTGACTCTCCAACCCTCCCTCCTTTCCCTCCTCTCAAGCGAAGCATACACATCGTTTGTGTACTGCCTTGCGGAAGGAGCGTCTTGCTAGGGAGGGAGGGAGCAGCAAAAAAGTTTGAAGAGGAGGGCATGACAAGAAGCAGCGCCATTACGGTGACTGCATGAGCCCGCGTGAGGCGAGGAAAGCAGGAGAAGCACGCCGGCATGGTACAGCTCGGGGAGGGGAGTACAGGAAGGGCGGGGAGGGAGGGAGACGAGGAGAGGGATGGAGACGAAGATGAAGGAGAAGCTGATTAGAGGAGGAGAGCAAGAGATCAGAGCCGCGGGCGCATGCCGAGCGTCTTCCCGCGCCCTCCCGCCATTGCGATGTATTGCCCTCCCCCGGACAAGTCTTGGAAAACTAATTCCGGCCCGACAGCCAATATGAACGCGGCTGGAGCGACGGTGCGGGTGTGGCAGGGGGTAGGGAGCAGGGGAGGAGGATGGGGTAAGAGGTGGGAAGGGGAGAGGAGAGGAGGATGGAGAGGAGGAGGAGGCAGTCAGTTTGGTGGTCGGGGAGTAGGAGTAGGACGAGGAGGAGGAGGAGGTGATGGTGGTGGAGAAGGAGGAGGACGAGGAGGAGGAGGAGGAGGAGGAGGGGGAGGGGGAGTGGGGATGGGGAGGAGGCGGCGGCAAGTAGGGGAGGAGAAGGCGGCGGCAAT